ATCTGCAAATTTGGTGAGAAACTTCTGCACCATCCGCGACACCGGCACCTACTTCCACCCGAGATCCCTCGTCCGCGAATTGCTGTTCGACATCACAACAGCATCCAGCTCATACGAGCACGTACTGATCGATATAAGAACAGCCCAGTCCCAACCATTGTAAAAATTATTAACTCGCAATCAACCAGTGTGTTCACTCCCAGTCAATCTTACCTTTTTGTACTGTCACTATGTTGAAATGCCCTGCAGTATGACCTTCTCCCCACCTAGTTATTATATATCATATTTGTATCACTTATGTTACTTGTATATTATTTGTCAATCAAGTGACCCATTCCCCAATTATGTAACTGTATATTTTCAGCCTTCAGGCTGCCATGACCTTTCAATAAGCCGTTAATTATTATTTCTCTTTAGCCCCCCCCCCCCACACACACACTACTATTACTACTACTACTACTACTTTGATGTCAGTCGGAATCGAGTGACGATCATCCAGCTATGATATAATGATATGAGTTATTAAGGATGTCACCTAGGTTAGTGAGTTTTGAGGTGACTAAAGAGGCCGATACGGGACCAGCAGGGTCGATCACAGAAGTTGCACATGTGGGGGGTTACATCTAGTGCGGGAGGGGCGGCAGCAGCATCTTTCTGGCGTTGGAGCTTGTCTGTCTCGTTATGCAGTCGGGCTAACTCGAAAGTATTGACGCCTTCTTGTGTGGTGCTCCTCCAAGCGTTGTAGTGTGGAGTAATCGTCTCCCAGGTGACGGGGTCGATTGGGAACTTTTTCAGGTTTGTCTTAAGACTATCTTCAGTTGCTCGCCAACATTAGGTTTACTATTCGTTAGGTGACTGTAAAGTAGCTGCTTTGGCAGTCTACTGTCGACACACACACACACACACACACCTAATATTACATCAGTACACGACATAAGCAAGTGATTCAATCATCGGTATCGCTAAAAATGACACCGCTGGCAAGACCCGTACCTTTGTCACGCTATAATGGTGTCAGGACTTAAAGCTCACACCAGTGAGGCTGACAGAACTTATACTACCGACAAGAACCCAATGTTAAAATCAACTAATGTCAGGATTAAAGCTGACACTCTATAGACGCTGACAGGACCTTGACTGACAAGACCTGAACCAATGCCACGTTACAATGATGTCAGAAGTTAAAGCTGACACACCAGAGAGGCTGACAGAACCTGACAACCGAGAACCAGAACCTAATGCTAAGATCGACTCGCGTCTGAACTTAAAGGTGATGTTCCAGAACCTCACCAAACTTGTCCTCATGGTGACGAGGTGATGGTGGGCGTAAGGTGATGGTGAGGGAGGAAGCGTTGGTGAGGAAGGGAGTGTTGGTGAAAAAGGGAGTGTTGGTGAGAAAGGGAGTGTTGGTGAGAAAGGGAGTGTTGGTGAGAAATGGAGTGTTGGTGAGGAAGGAAGTGCTGGTGTGATGGTGAGGGAGAGAAAGACAATAGGAGGGTAAGGGCAATATAGGAACTATGGGGGGACAAGGAGACAAAGGAGGAAGAGATGAGAGATGAACAACGTCTATACTCGTCTGGTTGGTCACGATAATGATGCTGACAGAGAGATCCATCGACCTGCTAGATCACCAATAACAACCGCCTGTGTGTGTGTGTGTGTGTGTGTGTGTGTGTGTGTGTGTGTGTGTAAAGACTCAGTGAAAAGAAAGAAAGAGAGAGAGAAAGAGACGCACCACATCTTCACCTGGACCAAAGTAACATAATAGTTCTCTTAAGACGCCTCTGAGCTCTACCTGAGACAACACACACTTCCCCTGGGACCTCTCTCCCCTCCCCTCACACACTCTCCCTTCTCACACTCTCTTCCTACCTCTCACACACTCTATTCCTACCTCTCACACACTCTCTCTTCCTCTCTCACACTCTCCCTACCTCTCAATCTCCCTCACACACTCTCCCTCACACATTCTCCCTACCTGTCACTCTCCTTCACACTCTCCTTACCTCTCACTCTCCCTCACACATTCTCCCTACCTCTCACTCACCCTGGCACTCTCTCCCTACCTCTCCCTACACCACTCACTCCCTCTCCCTACACCACTCACTCCCTCTCCCTACACCACTTACTCCTCAGGTATTCTCAGTGACCCACAGGCCCGCATTAAGGACTTACGGGTCATCACCTGCAGGGCGCCAAGGATCAAGTAGGTTAGGTTAGGTTAGGTTAGGTACTTATGGCCGGGTCATCATTGTACTCGTTTACCTGTAGAGCTCCAAGGTGTTAAGTAGGACCTCGGGTTAAGTCAAGGATACACGCTCAGCCGCCTCTCTAGAACCAACTCCTCGACCTAATCTCAGTAGGTCGTTGAGGCAGCTGGTTGATTGTACCGTTGTCCTTCAGGTAGTTCCTCCTTTAGGTGGGTTCTCCTTCAGGTATTCCTCCTTCAGGTAGGTCCTCCTTCGGGTGGTTCCTCCTTCGGGTGGTTCCTCCTTCGGGTAGTTCCTCCTTCGGGTAGTTCCTCCTTCAGGTACTTCCTCCTTCAGGTGGGTTCTCCTTCAAGTGGGTCCTCCTTCAGGTGGGTTCTCCTTCAGGTGGGTCCTCCTTCAGCTAGTTCCTCCTTCAGCTAGTTCTTCCTTCAGGTAGTTCATCCTTCAGCTAGTTCCTCCTTCAGCTAGTTCCTCCTTCAGGTAGTTCCTCCTTCATATAGTTCCTCCTTCAATTAGTTCCTCCTTCAGATAGTTCCTCCTTCAGAGTTCCTCCTTCAGGTGGGTCCTCCTTCAGGTAGTTCCTCCTTTAGGTATTTCCTCCTTCAGGTGGGTCCTCCTTTAGGTAGTTCCTCCTTCAGGTGGGTCATCTGGTCTTGTGAAGCGAAACACGTCCGTAAAAATAAAAGGATTTATAAAGTCCTTGCATTAGGCCTTTTTCTTGACCAACCTTCATGACCTACTGTAGGGTGTAGTGAGAGAGAGAGAGAGAGAGAGAGAGAGAGAGAGAGAGAGAGAACCTTTACAGAGTTATGTAGTACAGGGTAGGGTAGGTTAGGGTGTAACATTGCCATGTTTTTAGAGTAAATTGTGTCATTTTCTACCACAATAAACAATAAACTTTACATCATAAATTATTTAAGTCTACCACAACCAAATCCTCCGTTTTCTTTTACGACTTCAGCTCTTCTGTTTGTCCATTAGCTGAGCGAAACAACATGGCGGCGACCACAGCTGCCGGGTCAACTGAACTCTTGTCCACAGAGACCACAACCTAACCTAATGTAACTTGACCTTATCTAACCTAATATAACCTAACCTTAACCATTTTAATTAAGAACCCTTAAGATTGGGGTTATTAACGACTAAAGCCGAGAAAGACTAGGAGTCGTTAAGATTAGAGCCCATTAAAACTAGGACTCGTTAAGAATAGAGCCCATTATAACTAGGACTCTTTAAGACTAGAGCCCATTATAACTAGGACTCGTTAAGAATAGAGCCCATTATAACTAGGAATCTTTAAGACTAGAGCCAATTATAACTAGGACTCGTTAAGACTAGAGCCCATTATAACTAGGACTCTTTAAGACTAGAGCCAATTATAACTAGGACTCGTTAAGAATAGAGCCCATTATAACTAGGACTCTTTAAGACAAGAGCCAATTATAACTAGGACTCGTTAAGACTAGAGCCCATTATAACTAGGACTCGTTAAGAGATCCATTAAGACTGGGGCCTATTAGGACTACGGTAGAAATGACAGGTCAGTTTACCAAGCCAAGTTTTATCTGGAAACTTTGTTGATATTACCATATGAATCTTTATCACACACACACACACACACATCCTTGACCACTGAAGGGTCAAGACGTACCTGGCGCTCCTCTGGGAGCAGCCAGGTCAACTGTTAAGTTGGCCCATACCAACCCCCTCCCCTGAACCCTCCTCCCCACAGGGATATTAACAAGTTCTCGCCAGAAGTTACAATTTCATTTAGGAAAGGAATGGAACCAGTGTTGAACAGAGGTGAACAGTGCTTAAGTCAGTGAGAACAACTCAACAGTAACAGTCGTACCCAAGTTAACCTTCACACAGTGAGGTCCCAGGTACCCAGTGATAACTGCCCGTGAGAACCAACAACAACCAGCAATGTGTTAATGCGTCTTTGATAGGAAGGCCTGGGACCACACCTCATTCATATAACACCATCTGTGAGGGAATTACTACACCACGTGAGGTCCCTCATAACACCATTAGTGAAGGAACTACTACACCACGTGAGGTCCCTCCTAACACCATCTGGGAGGGAGTTACTACACTACGTGTTTTCTATTCAACACCTACATTAATCTGTATGTTCCTTTACCTTTCTCTAATGAAGGCTTTTTTTAAACCACCAATGTATGTAATAAGTCATTTGTGTCCAATGTATATTTTCAGCCTTAAAGCTGCAGAACTTTTTCAATAAACCGTTAATTACTATTATTATTATTATTATTATTATTACACACACCACAGTCACCCAACACACGCACGATAACTGGACACCCAGTTTTTCATCCTAAAACCAGGGATTTGGTAATTTAAGTAGCGTTAGGTTAGGTTAGGTAAAATTAGGGTACAGCTCAAATTCCATTACTCACAGTACAGCCAAACATCACAAACAAGGTCATTATACACAGGTAACGACTCCTGGCTATTTTTGGCATGTCCAGGAGATTAGCCAGTCCGCTGATGATTGAGAAAAATATACAAGAATGAGGATTAACCCTTACATTCACGGCTTTAGAGATTAGCCATTCACTGATTCACCTGTTCCCTAATCCGAGAGAGTAAGTTGCATTTGCTTTCATGTTAGAGAAAGTGAGTAAGACATTCAGGTGAGTTGTGTCACCTGAGGGAGTAAGTGAATAAAACACCTGATTTACTTTACCTGAGAAAGTAAATGTACAAGTCACGTGATTTACTTTACCTCCGAGTCAGTACATAAGTAAGTCACCTGAACTACATTACCTGAGCTGTTATGAGGCCGTTCTGACGTAACTTGCTGGACAGCGGTGGTCGGGTGGTGGTGTTGGTGCGGCCCAGCTTGTGTAAGGCGGTGTCTTTGTGGTGATGGTGGTGGGCCGGACTCTAGAGGGAGGGGGGAGAGGAGAAAACCATAGCTACAGCAACCACTACATAATACAGTACGGGATATATATATATATAGCATGGATAAATATTATATAGCATGGGTTATGCATTTCGGGTATATAGTGTATAGCATGGGTTACATAGCCTTCGATACATATTAAAGTACAGGTTACATAGTTTAAGTACAAATCTATTTAGCATTACAGTATTCTTACACCAAGGGGTATTTACTGTGCCTGTAGTTAGAGCATCGCTACGAATTAATTACTGTATCTGTATAGCCAACCCAACCCTGGCAATACTTGGTAAAGGAAGGCTGCATGTAAAGGTGGTTGTTTTTGGCTGTATCATTCTCAGGATAAATATTAAACAAACCACAAGTAACTTTGTATAATAATAAGCTATTCATTGTTATTTAAGGTCATATTTAAGGTCGTATGTTTGTTTAAATAATGAATAAAATTTGATGTGAGAATCTTGTGACAGCTGTGGTTGTAGTTGAGTTGCCAAGTCATTAATATAATTTTCTTCAATATTTAAGCATATATAAGAAAATTTGGAAACGTCTCATGACCTTAAATAACAATGAATAGTTTATTTATTAGTTATCCTGACAGTGATACAGCCGAAAACAATCCACCAATCACAATCACCTTTACATACAGCCTTCCTTTACCAAGTATTGTCAGGTAAAATGGCGAGCATGAGACCCAGGGTGAGGTGAGTGTATCTTTGGCTGACAGAATAACATACCCCTTTATGAATGCCTTACCAGACTAATCCTTGCAAGCCCTGTCCATTATTGGGAGGATTCTGCTATTGGGAATATCCGATATTGAGAAGTCCGTTATTGAGAGGATTTACTCTATTGGGTGAGTCATTGTTATTAATGCTTAGTGGGTTAGTCTCTCTCTCTCTCTCTCTCTCTCTCTCTCTCTCTCTCTCTCTCTCATAATAACCTAAAACTCGCCAAACTTCACAAAAAATAATCCAAAAGTTCTCTATCTTCGCTAACATCAGCCTAAAACTCGCAAAACATCAACAGAAATAAAGTAAAAATCGTTTAACATCATTCAACAACTCGCTAGCCATCACCAAAACTCACCCAGGGAGTTGTTAAAAGGAAAGCCCAAATTCGCTAGATTCGACGACTTTTTCCGCTAAGTTGGCAACAATGTTTGTTTGGCTTCGTTCAGCTAAACTCACCCGAAAATATTTTTATCATCGGCCAATGGAATTTTGAAGTATTGTCAAGGTAAACACGCCCACGTATGTAAGCTGACGTTTTATACCGAATTTCTGATATATAGAGAAAGAAAAACCTTGAGTGACGTCATCAAAGAGGGGATGAGCGGCCAGGCTAAAGAGGATTGGTTGAAGATGAAGTCAGAGAAGAGAACTGAGGCTATGTGGAATGCAATTGGTTGAGTATGACGTCAATAAGGGTAACGCTGACACGGGATTGGTGGATTTGATTAGGCATCGTACTCAAGGGGTTATCGTAATCAGGAGCTTCAATTATCGTACTCTGGGATTTAATTATCAGAAACGACCGCAGAATGTTGTAACTGATATTATTAGTACTTAAATAAAATTACCATAATTATTACCGATATCAGTATTATTATTATTTCCTTTATAATTATTATTACATCATCTTCATAATCAGCAGCACCAGCATATAGACGGCACATACCTGGAGACTTTCACAAGTGTTCTCTACAAAGGCCAACGAGAATCTGCCTGCAGTAGGATGTCTCGCCGCTTTACACTGTACCGAGTGTTTCGGGAATAAGTTTCATAACCCGCGAGTTTAGTGGGTGAGGGAGGACTGCAACAAGTCTATGGACATAACACATACACCACCAGTGCTACACGCATTCACAACACCCCTGGAGTCTTCGTATGTGTACAACAATCACTCTTGCGACGAACTGAAAACCTTTACTCAGGAAGAGCCACACAACTTAAAATCAATATCAGATTACCTATGATTGTGAATAAATTGCACTATCAACACTGAATATGTCATTTATACTCCGTAGATTTTATCAGATTATAACCCCAGCCATCATGTGTTACAACTCTGAGACTATGGGGTATTGACACTATGGTCATGGAGTCATAGGAATACCCCGGATTATGAAACGAATTTCCGAGCTCAAGTTCTCCCGCCCTAACTCAGTCATATGTAGACGATATGTAGAGTTGTAATGAGAGAGAGAGAGAGAGAGAGAGAGAGAGAGAGAGAGATTTACTCTAGACCAGGGGTCACCAAACTTTTTTCACAGTGGGCCGGATAACTGAAAGAATAACGAGTGCGGGCCGCATAATCATTCTGTTCAATACTTGCAAGCCAGAACGAAAGCCATGGAAACCATGGTAACGTCAGAGCGTAGGCGGAGCTACCACGGCGGGCCTGATGAACTGACGTCGCGGGCCGGATCCGGCCCGCGGGCCGTAGTTTGGTGACCCCTGCTCTAGACCATCAACAGTTACCTCTCACACCCCCGGCCAGGTCTTTGTGGCCGGACGAGCTGATGGACGCTGAATAATAATGACCCGAGTTCCTGAAACCTACTGAAAAAAATGTCTTAGTCTCTGTACTTAAACCTTTGAATAAATGTACTCGCGTCGGTAATCAATTCCACTGAAAAAAGGCCACCATATCGGTACTCAAACACGCTGACAGAATGTCCTCGCCCCGGTACTCATACCCACTGAAAAAAGGTCCCGTATCGGGACAGAAAACCACTAGATTTTGAAAAAACTGAAAAAATACAACCACGTCCCCGTTACCCCCACGCCAATGGATCTGAACACAACTGAAAAAAATCTTAGTATGTCCGAATTCAGTGGATCTGGACCCAGTTGAACGAACCTGGTAGTGGGATTCGAGGCCTGTGGATCTGGATTCACTTGAAAAGAGAAAATATCAGCAACTGGAAGAAGAAAATATATATATACGGTATATATATATTTACTTTCAGATTATTGTTTACAGTTGACAATCCACTTACAGTGATACGTACATCTCATCAGGTATCATTAACAGTCATATGTGTATATACGGTACAGTGGGTGTTTACATGCGGTACACTGTGATACATACGGTACACTGTTGTATTAATATACGGTGCAATGAGTGTTTATATATGGTACACTGTGCGTTTATATACGGTATACTAAATGTTTATATACGATACACTGTTAGTTTATATAGGGTACACTGTTTATATACGGTACATTTGCTTTATATACGGTACACAGATGGGTTTATATACGGTATACTGTTAAATTATATACGGTACACTGAAACTAACTGGTGCTAAGTGAGGGAATCTAGTTAAGATACAGTCTCTGTGTAAATTTTGTCTCCTAACTGGTGCTAAGTGAAGATATCTAGTTAAGATACAGTCTCAGTGTTAATTTTGTCTCCTAACTGGTGCTAAGTGAAGGTATACATAAGAACATAAGAATGGAGGAAACTGCAGCGGGCCTATTGGCCCATACTGGGCAGTCCCGTTTACACCCAACCTCTATTGCTCATATAAGCATCCAACCTATGTTTGAAGCAATTCAGCGTATTCGACTTAATGATGATATTTGGTAACTTGTTCCATTCATCCACTACTCTGTTTCCAAACCAGTGTTTACCTATTTCACGCCTAAATCTAAATTTGTCTAATTTAAAACCATTGTTACGAGTTCACTCCTGGTTGGATAGTTTGAGTGCCTTTGTAATGTCCCCTTTGTTTAGCCCTGACTTCCACTTATACACCTCTATCAGGTCGCCCCTCGCTCTACGTCTCTCGTCTCTAGTTAAGGTAGAGTCTCAGTGTAAAAGTAACTGTATCAGAACGTTCTCATTACATTTCAATCAACCAATTAAGTCCAGCCATTACACCACCGTACGAAACATAATGAATAAAGGCTTAAAGGTTCCGCTATAATGGCTTAAAGGTTCCGCTATAAAGGCTTAAAGGTTCCGCTATAAAGGCTTAAAGGTTCCGCTATAAAGGCTTAAAGGTGTCGCTATAAAGGCTTAAAGGTTCCGCTATAAAGGCTTAAAGGTTCCGCTATAAAGGCTTAAAGGTGTCGCTATAATGGCTTAAAGGTTCCGCTATAAAGGCTTTAAGGTAAATGTGCTTATAAAGGCCAGCGTCTGTTACAAAGGCCTAAAGGTTCCGCTTATAATGGCTAAAGGTGTCGCCATAAATACTAGTTGTTCCGCCATAATGGCTTTAAAGGTTCCGCCATATTGAAGGTGTCGCCATTAGCGTGTCACATAATGGCTTGAAGGTTCCAAGTAAAGGCTTTACAAAGTCGCCATAAAGGCCGAAGGTTCCGCCATAAAGGCTTAAAGGTTCCAACATAGCGGCTTAAGGCGTCACACAATACGTAAAGGTGTCGTTAAGAAGGCTTAAAGGTTCCATTATAAAGGTCAAGGTGTCGCCATAAAGGCTTAAAGGTGTCGCCATAACGGCTTTAAAGGTTCCGCCGCAGAAGGTTTAAAGGTTCCAAATACAAAGGCTTGCGGTTCCGCCATAAAGGCTTAAAGGTTCCATAATGGGCTTAAAGGTGTCACAAAGGCTTAAGAAGGTTCCACTATAATGGCTGAAGGTGTTGCCATAAAGGCTTAAAGGTTCCGCTATAGGGCTTTAAGGTGTCGCTATAAAGGCTAAAGGTGTCATACTATTTAAAGGTCCTACTAGTTACTTGAAGGTTCCAAGAGAAGGTTTAAAGGTTCCAACATAGTTACTAAAGGTCCATTACAGGGCCAGAAGGTTCCGCTATAAAGGCTAGTGTCGCCATAATGTATTTAAAGGTTCATTATGGTTACTAAAGGTTCCGGCATAATGGCTTAAAGGTGTCTTTATAAAGGCTTAAAGGTTCCGCTATAAAGGCTTAAAGGTTCCGCTATAAAGGCTTAAAGGTTCCGCTATAATGGCTTAAAGGTGTCGCTATAAATATTGTTGATCCATTGTGGTGTTTTT